TTAATATTTCTATGGGCTACTAATACTATACTAAAGACACTTTGGCCTTTTTTCAAATTTACATCACTTTTACACACAGTTGAAACACTTACAGTGCTAGGAATAGTATGAATGAAAGACATCGTTGTACCAGTATAATTATATTGGCATGGGTGCAATAGAACTTCATGATTGTGTGATGGAAGTTGGTGAATTTGAATACTGTACACAAAATCATTGCACAACACTTCCCATCTACTTTGTACCGGTACATGAAACATGGAAAGAAAGGAAATAATGAAACCGATTCAGTGAATCCTCACCTGTTTGACCACGGTCCACACCTTGCCCGAAATTCTTCGAAGGAAAGCAATGCCACCTCGAGCACTGATTTTTGCAGGCAAACAACAGCAAACTCTGAGTGCTGCGTGACGCACTGCAGCCCTTCCTGCTCGCCGCGTTTACTGAAAGCTGCAGGAACCTCCCAGCAACAAGTCGACTCGACCTCGCTCCACATCATGCTGCATTGTCCGCAACGGCATCAAGCAGTGCTTCTCACGCGAGCACTTGCAACCAAAGCGTTCTCTTCACGTTCATCTGTTTTGTAGTCTCAGAAATATTACTTGTAGACAGTTTCGCAGACGCTGATGCGCGCTTCGGCTCGAACCTAAAAGGCCTCGGTGTTGTTGAATCCGAAGTGGCGTCCACCTCCACACCTCCCGTGGTCTCCTCTTCCTCCAACATGATGATCGAATGAATACTAGTACAAGGGTTATTGATTGAAGAAAAAACAGTGAATACCATTTTCAAAATTTCTGCAGGTCTACCATTTGAATAAAAAAATTTGGAGGTCACTGAGAACGTTTTACGTCACAGAGTGGGCGGGGGCCCCTCGTGCCAAATATGGAAAATTGCAATTGGTAATTTAGGTATGTTATCCTTGTCGTAGAAGCTTCCGGTTTTCGCCATTCTACCACTTACGACATACTCTAATGGATTCCGCAATAAAAAATGGGGGTGATTTTGGACCGGAGTTCCCCTTTAATGTAGGAGACGGGAAGCGGTAGGGGAACTTCCCAGGAAGGAGCAACGAAAGTTGCTTTCCCGACGAAAGTTGCTTTGAATTGCGGAATTACATGTACCTGTACATGTATCTTCTCTGCACACTTGGTGAAGCTTACTGAAATCAATATAATCGTCATGTGTGCGTAGCACAGTATCGTTCATGATTCAACCACTGCATACATGTATAATTACAACGTATACCATGTACATGTACATGTATTAACCGTGGCCTAGGCGTCAAGCTTATACATGTATCTAGGCCACGGTTAACTAGACAACCGCAATCTAATGGTTGGCTGTTTTTTGAACCAGCTTCCACCATGCTGCCACACATTGTTACCATTTCAATCGCATGACACGTAGTACCTCACTCCCGAGGCCAGACATTGCTCAATGTTAATAGTAACTGTGAAGAATATTCTATGCTCACTCCTACCAACTAGTTCCTTTGAAAAGGTCAAGAAATTTTCTTCGAGGTAGTTGCCTGTGAAGAGACAAGGTGTCTTCCGCAGTTGGACATCTCCACGTTCACCCCAGGATTAACTCCACTTGATACGAGTTGACACCGGAGGTAAGACGTAACTCAAGCTTGGTTTCTCTTTAAATTTGTGAGGGTATGCACGTAACTAACAAAACTGCATGATCAAATTGAGGCACTTGTAAGTTGTAGTTGTTTAGGTTTGCAGATGAAATTCATGTTTTTTCAGCAGTACAAGGTCACGTGACAACATCAACAACATACGGGTTAGTTCCCAGCGGTACTGATGAAGGTAACCAACGTGTAGCAAAAGTGAAGCAATTGCTCAGATTTGTAGATGTAGCCGGGGTGTTCCGACGTGGTGAAGGCCTACCCATGGCCACGTCGGAACATCACCAACCCCGTCTATAGAGAGCACCTTCTCGCGACAGTGTCATAGTGGTGGCAGTAACTGTTGACAGCTGACGAGCTGAGAGAAGGACGCCATGGGCAGAAGTTGGAAGAAAAGAAGTTGAGGTTTAAGTAGCTACATGACTACCAGGACGATATCCAGAAGCGATCAAAAAATACACGACGGACGTAAGGAGTTGTCTCCAACCTCCCTAGCATAATGAGGGTCCGAGCCGGGTTCAACACCCATATGGTTCAAATGGTCCGCAGGGACTGGGGCTCTGCAAACCGCGGAAGGTTGTAGTAAGGTCACTGTTCCCGAACACAGTGTCCTCCACATTGGTTCATGCTGTCAATCTAACAATATACTATCATGTACATGCACATCTACATGTACATGAATTTGCGTCACAGAGATACGCAGATACGTGTACACACATACACACACGCACACACATACACACACAAACACACGCACACACACACACACACACACGCACACACACACACACACACAAACACTGTCCTGTCCTGTAGCTGTCCTGAATATTTCCGTTGAGACATGCGCACAGCCGCACACTCACACTGCATGTGCATGTACACACACCATGTACCATCTGTCACACACACACACACACACACACACACACACACACACACACACACACACACACACACACACACACACACACACACACACACACACACACACACACACACGCACGCACACACACACACACACACACACACACACACACGCACACAAACACACAAACACACGCACGCACACACACACACACGCAAACACACACACACTCATGAAGGCACAGTTTGGACACCACATAGTGTACATGACACGTAGCCTTTGTACACCTACATGTACATGTATACACCTACATGTACATGTAGGTGTATACATGTACATGTAGGTGTAAGTTAGTACATGTAATAGTTTATTGTTGTTGTGTTTGTTGGTGTACTTTTGTAATAGGTCGCCGAGTGGTATCAGGAGGCACACACAAGAAGACTGGTTAATATTATGTTCTTCGGCTCAATCTGCCTGAAGTTATGTATACAACTGCTCCGGCTCAATCTGCCTGGAGGGACTCGGAAAGGAATACAACTGCTCCGGCTCAATCTGCCAGGAGGGACTCTGTTCTGTTCTCTTATGTTCTGCTCTGCTCTGAAGAAATGAGTAAAGCATGGCAGCTTTTATAGGGCGAAAAGGAAGGAGATCATCATAGCGTCTGCATGAGCCATGAGTCATGAAAAAGGGCAAAAGTCTGTTGTGTCAGTCCAAACAGAACTTGGGAAGGCATAGCAACAGTATCTAAATGTATAAGGATGAAAGAAGCAAACGGAACTTTGGAGGAGAACAGAGGCCAGGGAGGGCATTGGCAAATGGATGCAAACCGGATTTAGAAAGGGTCATGACTGTCCGCATGACCTCAGTCAGGGTCAGGGAGGTACAGTACAACATGTGGGTGTTAGTTCTACATGTACATACAGGTGCGATGATCTAAACTAGCAAAGATATGTAGTATGCAATCCAGCAAGCGCAAGAGAAACACAAGTGGTGAGAAGTGATTATAATAATTAGCTTTGCAGGCTTGTCAGCAAAGGAGTGACAAGAGTCATGCAGTGCGTGTACGTGTACATGTGACATGATTAGAGGTCAGTAGATATTACATAGTACTAGCAAGGCAGGGATACTACACCCTCCCTTCCTACAGATAATCACGCCCTCGTGATTTTTCCAAAGTATTAAACAAGGCTTGGTAGACTGATAATAAAGTAGGGACCCTGTGTGTATAATGTGTGAAGGACCTGTCTCTCTGTGGAGCGGGAAAAATTTCGGACGGTAAAAAAAAGGATGTGTAAAATCGCGTCACTGTGGACGGTAACAGTTCTTCATTCGCGTCTCTCTGGGACGGTACAACGGGAAAAGTAGACTCGCGCATCATGTGGCGGTATATCATGTTACATGGACTGGTTATTTGAGTGCGTGCTTGCAGGGTATACAGTATTTTGGGTCTGAAACTGATTGCTTGGTCGTTACGGGGTGGACATGATCGGGATGGGTAACGAAAAGGCTAGGAAACTTTGTGATCAAAACCTTGAGAAAGCGGTTGTACGGAAGCTGCAGTGTGGCGAAATGTTGGGTGATCTAGAACTGTGTACTGCATGTATCTGGACGTACATGAAGGTACATGGAGGGTTGTGAGTCCTAGGTTGTTGATCGAATGGTGGGGCGGGGACTGGGAGTGGGATTGTCTATGGGATGGATTTGCTGAAGGGACGTGGAGGGCCTTGTGTTTTTTTTTTTTTTTTTTTTTTTTTTTTTTTTTTTTTTTTTTACTGCTTCAGCTCCTTCCAGGGATAAGTATGTTCATCAAATTTAGAGGCTCGATGTGGGCACGCAAAAGAAAGGAAGAAAAGAAGAAAGAGGTGGCACAGCAAAACAGAAGACTCTGGAATACTGAGGCCAAGGACAAACGCACAATCATAGAGGTTGTACGGGAAGGGGTAGAAACGGAAGATAGCTTCTAGCGTACACACGCACGTTCCGGACAAGCAGCAGAAGGGTGATTGAGCCGATCGGTGCATGGGGGCCAGCAGCGACAGCGACTAACATTCGAAAAACACACCTCTCGCAGGAGCAGTAGCAGGAGAAAGCAATTATTTACTGTAACGGAGAAAATGCTAAGAGTGGAAGACAGTATAGACGTCCAAAGGTCCGGTCCAGCCTTGGGGCAGTATAAAATGATGAAAATGGTCTAGATATGTTTCGTGCTTGTTTCTTTCATTTTTCAATCGCGCCCCAGCAAAGCGAAATCATACAAGTAGACACGCAAGATTGAAGCAGGTTTTAGGAACACAGACGCGGCACACATGATGGGGGCTGGCAGACACCATGTGCACACACACACGCGCGCGCACACCCAATCAAACTGTGGACTGGACATGCAAAAACAGCAAGCGTACTGGGTCGGACTGTAAAATCAGGGTAGCAATCACTGGTCCAACACATCACTTGCAGAAGCGAGGCGCGGTGCGTCTATGTATTCACACAGTGTCGACTGCAAACTTACGCTTTCTTGAGCACCTCCGCTACGAGATCTTTGAACTCCATGTCACTCGCATCGTTAGCCTGGAACTCGATGCCAATGCCAGTCATCACCTTCTTCAGGGAATCCTTGGATGATGCGTAAATCATCTTCTTGCCAATGGGTGAATTATCGGGGCACCAGAAAATGAACGCCAACTTCTTTACAATTCTGCCTTCAGTGTTGCTGATGCCAAAATCGTACAGTATGTACCTAGGCTCCTTCCCCAGCCGTTGCTTCATCGCCTCGAAATGCACGTTGCAGTCTTCCACAGTGGTCGTATTCGCTGAACCAGCTCGGGGGACTTCGTCATCGATTATGATAGAGGTCTTGTCGTCACTGATCTTGAAGATGAGGAATTTGTGCTTAGCCTTCAGTTTCACGTCATTGTAAACTTCTGTAATCTCAGCGTCGACATCAATACCGGACGTTGCCATACTGCCTGTTATAACGTCCGCAACTTCTTTACAATTCTGCCTTCAGTGTTGCTGATGCCAAAATCGTACAGTATGTACCTAGGCTCCTTCCCCAGCCGTTGCTTCATCGCCTCGAAATGCACGTTGCAGTCTTCCACAGTGGTCGTATTCGCTGAACCAGCTCGGGGGACTTCGTCATCGATTATGATAGAGGTCTTGTCGTCACTGATCTTGAAGATGAGGAATTTGTGCTTAGCCTTCAGTTTCACGTCATTGTAAACTTCTGTAATCTCAGCGTCGACATCAATACCGGACGTTGCCATACTGCCTGTTATAACGTCCGCTCCGGAGAGACTGGAGAGCAGCGGTGGTTCAATTTTATAATTGCTAGATTCGAACCCACCTAGTATCTGTATTACACTGGTGGCAGCGGTGCGTGAATTCGTCCCTGTAGATCTGTTTACGCAACTTCAGTCTTGTTATGTTGTTACCATCCTTAGTCAATCGTTGTCGTCAGTCTCGTTGTTAGTACCTATTACATTGATGGCAGCCTCGAACGATGAGCGGAAAGCACCGTTAATTGGCCCCCACCGCGTTTCTAAACCCATGAGGACCTGAGAACGATGCAGAATCCCGGTTCGTCAGTCCATCCATACAGCAGATCGACGCCGTCACGTACGCATTTCGGCAAAATGGATCACCATCATTCTTCAGCGAGTTTCCATGCCCGGTATGTCCCTGGACTACAGCCACCGGTATATGTACGACCCAAGCGACGTCGGCCCTTTCGTCTTCGCCCATATTGCCGATTTTGCAAGCAGATTGGCCATGCCATAGCGTATTGCTATCGTCGTCGCGATACACGGCACATCTTCCCTTCAACCCAGGTATGTCACCATTCTTGCTCTATCCCTACTCAATCATCAACCCGGTCAAATGCAACTGTTACTAGTACACATGCCACCCCTATCGTGCAAGCTACGCCGCGTATTATGCAAGCTCCCCCATCCAGCAGTAGTTTCCATTCTGTCCTGATGCTCCTCGCTGCCATATCCTTATCTCTAACTCGTTCTGCTGCCAAAGTTGTTCCCCTGCTAACATCTCTCACATTTAGTGTGTTTGCTACACTACACGCGATACTACACCTTTACTTGTACGTGCATTTCATGTGCATGTGTGGCAGCAACAGCTGACCACTCTCTCATTATGCAATTATGATGGCTTGGACCTGCCAAATACATAGTAGCACTTGGACACACAGAGAGTCCGAATTGACAGGTGAGCAGTTCAGACTTGCATGAGCTACATTGTACATGTGTATAGAGTGCCGGCACATCAGTAATCCAGACGATGCAACAGAGAATGCATCATGACATTGTTTTCTAAGCCGGACTAGAACCTCTGTCGAATGGACTCTGCAGTCTGCACTGGCAAACAGTCAGAAAGACGATGTACAATCATGTAGATGACACCGTCACCATGTGGAGTTGTCTTTGACGACCAGACTCCTGGCAAGTCCCATTTGACAAAGAATAAGTTGACAACGCTATCAACACGGTTGAATAGCGATGAGAGCGATCTACACGTGCTTGTTTGATTTGTACAAGCATGGTTACTGTCTGATGACCTGAAAAACCGTGAAACTCAGAGTTTAATAGCAGAAACGCTTTGATTCCTTCTTTCAAGTGTATAATGTACATGTACCGGTACATGTAACATGACTGTGCAATTGACGTCTCCCTTAAAACCAGGCATCTGTCGTAGAGCAACAAGAAGAGGACTCCGGGAAGAAACTGTTGCCTTGTGATTGCCTATTTGTGCGCGAAACTCAGGATTACAACCATTTACATGTATTCCTCCTCTTCTTGTTGTGCATGTTCAATGTACATGTGCATGCAAGTAGCTCTGCCGTAATCTATTAGACAGCGTGGAACTTTTTCTTTCTGTTTCACCATACTTGTACAATGTTCTGGGTTTCTGGGCTTGCATTTGTATTGAATTTTCATCCATTGTGTTTCTTTACCGTCAGAAAGTGGTGGACATCGTGCTTTTCTTTTTTGCCCATAAAAGAGGCTTGAGTATAATATACTTAAGTACATGTACATGTACACACACAACAGAGTCGAAAGGCTGTGTTAGCTGTAACTTAAAGTTTCACGCATCGGAGCGATCATCAGACAGCAGCATTCACTATCGAATTCTCTACGAGCAGGCCTAGATATTTGATGCTAGTGTGGAAGTTAGTGCATATGTGCGAAGTGAAGACGTGGCATTGGGACAGTGGTATTGAGTTGTTTAAGTACATGTATATATTTTATTAATGCAATGAATATAACTAAATGCGCACTCATATCACAACCATGGGGACGAATCATGTATTCCAGAACGTTTTCTTGTCACAATTATCAATGGAATTCGTGACTAAAGAGAATGATGAAACTACAATAGGATTTATACACTTGCAGTGGAACAGCGAGGATACAAGCATAGTAAGAAAAATAGCACAAACCTAGGAACAATTTGCACAGGTAATAAACTATAGGTGAGGTGAGAAATGATAGGAAATTCAGCAAGTGCAGTGTGACAATGGACATGCATGTGCAAGTGTGTGTGAGTGCGAATATTCTCACCTCACCTATAGTTTATTACCTGTGCCAATTGTTCCTAGGTTTGTGCTATTTTTCTTACTATGCTTGTATCCTCGCTGTTCCACTGCAAGTGTATAAATCCTATTGTAGTTTCATCATTCTCTTTAGTCACGAATTCCATTGATAATTGTGACAAGAAAACGTTCTGGAATACATGATTCGTCCCCATGGTTGTGATATGAGTGCGCATTTAGTTATATTCATTGCATTATTAAGATTATTGTCTCCACGTCGCCTTTTTACATATATTTTATTATTTTTATATAAGGATTTCCCAAAGGCATAGCCTATCGGGGGGATCTCCTTACAGTGAAAATGATCATTGATTTATATACTAGTGAAGCGACTTGTGCAGGCAAATAATTATATGCTGTTTTTAATGAGCGCGAAATTGTGTCCGAAATTCTGAAACAGAATCTATAGCGGTAATCTTGGGTGGAAGGCAATTCCATAATTTGCCGATTTTATGTACATGTACATGTAAGAAAAGGGAAGATGAAAATTTCCCATGAGAGTTGAAAACAAGCTTGTATGCATGCACCACTCAAAAAATATGTTCTGACATGTTCTCAAAATAAACTTTGTGCTTGTAGATGACTGTACTCGTCTGTAGTGCAATACCCGTTACACAACATACAGGTGATACACGTACAGTGATGATGATTATGTACAATGTTACGTGTATACTGTCCTGGTCCATCGATCTGTGACGGTACCGTGTATTAGCAGTGTACTCTTTGCAGTACATGGACCTACACTGTACAGTACATGACATGTTGCAGAACTGTACAGTGTGCACAAGTCAATACAAATGGGCTAGGTGAAGTACGACCAAACATGCATTATGAAGACCCTAGAATACTAGATTTAGACGATGCTGTCACAACTCCTTGGCCGGCCATGACTGACAGACTGACATGTCTCAAAAATGACGACTAATACTACAGTCGTCCCTCTCTAATCCGGCACCTTTTGCTACGGCGTTTTCTGCTGGATTAACGAGGGTGCTGGATTAAGAAATCCTGCCCTCTGACCCGGCCCTACCCAATTGCATGCATGTGTCATACGTCAAAACGCAGGGTTTTTCCGTGTCGATCCAAGTATTTGATGCACAACTTTATATTTTCAACTGTTCTCCAGGAATATACACAGTGACGAAGTGATAAAATAAAACAGAGAACATGTTCACATGTACTCTTGCACACACACGCACACACACACACAGGCCTGAAAATTGGCAAGACACTACTCCTTGCTAAAATAAGAAAGTATGGTTGACTGCTTAGCAGTTGTCTCCTGGACAACATTGACCCTCTTGAGAAGGCCACGCAAGCAGTCGACATCATGCAGGTCGAACGACGGATGTCCTTCGAAGCAAACAATTGCATCAGCAAGTGCGCGGGATGCTTGTGCCAGAGTTGGAAGGCTGTTGGAGTGCGCATCCAAGATGTGCTAGAGCTGTTAGCCAGTTAGTTGTAGAACGTCAGTACCGTCGGTCAGTGTCGTGCATCGTCGCTGATTGCTTTGTAACTGGTGGTGTTAGTAGACAGTATAGCGTAACTTGTAGTTCCTTGGTCTTTCTCTTTGTATAAATTGAGTTCGGGTTCGGAAAAGTCCTAACAACCAACCGAACTGAACTCTCGCGCGCGAGGTCGAGTACAATTGTCAACTGAATTCGATCGATAACTGAACGCGATTTACGACTGCCGGATTATGAAATCAAACTACGTGCAGTTTGAGCGATTCGTTTCAAAAAGTCACTGCCGGAGGCGGAATTCAAGTGCCGGATTACGATGTAGGAATTGAACGAAAAAAATCGGTTTCATCAGAAAGTGCGCCGGTTGGCAAGGGTTCCGGATTAACAAGTGCCGGATTAGAGAGGGACGACTGTAATAGTATGGCTGCATGCAGTCCTTTTTTTTCTTCTTTTTTTTACTAGCAAACACAGCCCTGCTAATAATCAGGGGAAGAGGACAACTGAAATGACACTCCTTCAAGTACAACAGCTCGCAGTCATTTTCAAAACTGGGTGCGATGTTGTTGTTGTTGTTGTTGTTGTTGTTTCTTTATTTTACTTCACCATATGAATGATGCGGGTTGTCGCATGCGTGGCATGTTGTAAACCATGGCTACAAATGATCATAAAATGCACAATTGTACAGTACATGCCGATGAAGATGTATCGGGAACAGACGACGTCAGCTGTTGGCCGGGACAAGCAGGACTGCATATGCAGGAGCGCTATTAGTATTACCGGTAGTATAAGTTTACTTTCGCACACCCTACGATCATTCAATCACTGCGTGTCTACCTCTCGCGAGCGTGTCCGCGTTTGGAGAGGTTCAGCCGATACAGGTGTGTTACAGTGCTTGCATACTGTACAGTGAAACCTGTCTAAGACGACCGCTCAAGGGGCCTTCAAAGTGTGGTATCTGTTACCATGTGGTCTCCTTATCCAGGGTCATTTGACTGGAAATAGCATTCCTTGATGCTGGTTTCAGTGGTCTTCTATAACAGGTGGTCGCATTATCCGAGTGGTCGCCTTGACAGGTTTTACTGTACTGTCTTTTGTAGTACCGAAGTTGTTGATACCATCCAAGTTTTCGTTCTAGCACAAACTGAAGAACGTGGAGTTCAGAACCACTGCCTAGGCCTCTCTTTATTTTCAGGTAGAGCTGTTTTTTTTTCTTCATGTGTATGATATAGCTGAGCCACCAGGTAGAAGAAAAAACAACAGACACCAAAACTTTCCACAACTTTGAGCTACGGCGGATGTGGAAATTAGCCTTCAAGGGCAGCTCAAACCTCGGGTGAAACGTTTTTTATAACAGTTACAGAAGAATTGCTGTTCTCTCCGTGTCCTAAATGGTTCTCCTGGAGTCTTGCATTCATTATTCACTCCAGTGTCAGGAGATAAATTATGTGGATTTTGTAGAGAAAAAAGAAAAGAAATGCACACCTTGCTCAGCATGCCCCCCCCCCCCCCTGAATACCATCATGCCGCGGTGGACACACTGCCCACACATCACTGCACAGATTCATTGACTTTCGGACTTCTTCTTCGGAACATACATGATTTAGTGAAAAAGGAATTAACTTGAATAACGCATCAAGAAACTGATGCTCATCCAAAGGTAGAACACGACAGACAAGTTCAAAATATTGCATAGCCAGCATAATCAAAATAGAATATTACGCCAAATAATCATTCGATTGAATTTTAATGCATTGCATTGTAGATGTAGTGATTGCTAAGCTACAAATACAATGCACATGTAGCTAGTATTCCTGGAGCCTATAGTCAGGTCCCGTAGCAAGCTGCAGCACTACAAGTATAAATCGAACACGTCTTTGAGGTTTGCATGCCAGCAGGAACACCAGTGTTCGGCACACAGCAATGCTTAGACTTACGCTTGCTCTTAAACCACCACCACACCACTATCACCACCACACGCCGCAACTCGGAGCTAGCCAGGCTTCTCACAAAGATAATTATAATGATTGGAAATTGGGAGCAGAAAGCAACGCAAGTTGTGTACTGCAACAGTTCCAGATTCTTTGGAGAAGGCGGCAGGTGTGCTTCCCAGCACGTACGGCCAGCTGTGTGTCCTTGGGACGGACGGAGGCCAGTGCTGCTGAAGCGTTGGGCCGCGGCTCCAGGGGCAGGGGCAGGGGCAGGGCGGCGCTCCAGGGGCAGGGCGGCGCTCCAGGGGCAGGGCATAGTGCCAGCGGACTGGGTTGTCTGCGGCTCTGCTTTCACGACAGCACAGGTGATTCGTACTTCACCTTGGTGAGGTTTCAGACATCAGCAAGATTGGCGAACAGAACCGTTGGTTTCTTGTTCTGCTGCACTGTTGATTGAAGCTGGAGATTCTCTGCTGATCAGTGAACCGCTTCTGGGATGCTGCTGTCCAGAATGTCAGCCCAGTTTCCAGTAGATCCACTGGACATCATCGCTTGGGAGCCAGTGCTATTGGCTAGAAGGTCGTCAAGGCTCAACAAGCCCAATCCCTGCTCGGAGCTGTGGCTGGTCATTGGCACAGCAGAGCTGGAGGTTGTTACTGGTTGAAACGCAGCCACCTGCTCGTGCTGGGGTGTAGGCAGGAAGCTGTGAATGAGACCCGACCCATTGGCACTGGCGGTCATGTTGCTGCTGGTCTGGGGACGTGCTGCATGACTGAGCGGTGTGGTATTCCAGCCACTGGTGGTGCTGAAGCTGGTAAACGCGCTGCACGTCGTGATCCCGCTGCTGGCGAACGACTTGTCCGCAGGCGGAGTGTCCACGCGGATGGCACCAGACGCGCTGGGGAAGGACGTGGTGGGTATCAGGCAATGCGGCTGGGTGGGCATGTGCTGCAGTTGCTGAGGGGCACTGCTGATTCCACGGACGGAGGCGGTGGCGGCGCGGAGAGAAGAGGCTCGGTTGCTGCTCATCTTCAGCGCCGTGGTGAGTTCGTTAATGTAAACTGTGGCTTGCTCCAGAATCTCCAGACGTGTGTAGCTACGCTCGTCGTGTCCTGGGATGCACTCCTCGAGCGAGGTGAACGCTTTCCGGATGGCCACGGCGCGCTTGGCTTCACGCATGGTTGCCTGCTTGCGTCGATGATGGCGTGCCTCCCTGACGGTCATGACGCGTGGCAGGATCACCGAGTTGAGCTGCCCTCCCTCTACGCAGTCGTCCGGTGTCTGGGCGGGGGACGCGTCGGGCGAGGACTGCAGCGAAGAACTGCTGGGAGTGGCCACCGGGGAGAGAGTTCCGGATGAACTGAAGCTACGCTGTGGGCCAAGCTGCTGCAAGCTGGGAAGGTTGCGCGATGCCTGGCTCACAGCAGGAGTTGTGGACGGCGAGGGACCATTGGTATTGTTTCCAAGGTCGACCATGAAACCCGCCGCCATCCGATCAGCAAAGTGACACTGTTGCTGCATGCCCATATTGGTAGCGCTGACAGCGTTTTGTTGTGCCTTCGATGCCCAGATATCCACGGGAAAGGAAGCCATGACGGACATAATACTACTGATTGATTGAGTAAGAATATCTCGTGGGATGAATTATAAAGCTGAATGTTGAAGAACACGGTAGCAGTGGCTACGCTTTTGAATTTTCTGATCTTGTCTGCAACTCTTCGAAGTTCACAACTGACTCTGCAGACATTTTCTCGACTCCTTTTATACGCCAGGCCGCTGTGACTGCTCTGCATACCGTTTGCATGCATTTGCTTGCATACTCGCGCATATGCGTGGTCAACTGAAAGGCTGCACACGCATACTACAGGAGCACATCCCACGCAACTGATGGGCCAGAGGTACTTGCGGAGTACAACTGGGCGCTAGGCCCAGCGCGTACTCTGGCATGCCAGCAAGCTGGGGAATCACGGCTCACGTGCACAGCTCAGCGTGACCTGTGACGTCGAGTGCCAACCCAGCCCGTGGTGGTGGTGCCGCACCAGAACGGCAAACAACTCCAACGCACTCTGTGAACAACTGCGTGCTGAACATGGGCTGTCAAGTGATGGTGAAATGCAGCATACACTGATACACGCGATACAGCTACTGAGCTAGGCTTTTGACAGCGACCAGAAAACCTCTTCTGACACTCATTGCATTATGATTTTGTTGTATTGTGCGCTAGCGTGATCCGACTTGCATTGTAGCAATGTCAACAAGACTAATGTTTTAGTTAGTTAGTTAGTTAGTATGGCTGATTCCCGTATTATTTGTGGGCATCCGCCACCTGATCAACTCATGGCTATAAATAATTATCCTGCCACAGTACATGTTTACTCGACCTCGGTGTACAAAACTCGAGGAAATGTCCTCACCCGACACCCGATCAAAACTGCATACAAAATGCATTTCAAATTAATTACACAAGGCAGAACAACAGAGACCAAAAAGCTTTCTCGTTACTCCGAGTTTCGTGTTCAAAAACACTCATCAGACGAAAAATTAATTACTTGTTGCCATATTCCCTGACCATTTCCCTTCTTTCAGAACATCCTTCTTTCTGCTCTGTTTATTTATTTATTTATCGTCTCTTCCCTTCATGGCACATACATTGTACATGTAATAATACATAGCCAATATTTACTTGTCAGTCCTACCTTATACGGTCATAGCAGTACTCGATGTGCCAAGTTACATGTCTGAGTTGAAACAAGAATGGAGGTCCGCCTGGATAGCAACCAGACTCGTTGTATTGTGTTCATGCTAGAAACAGGCTGAGCAAGTCGTATTATTGTTACGGCTCCCTGGTCACAACACTTCACAGTTGCTGATGATGTTAGTGATGGATCTGGATCATTGCTGTCAGTTACAGAATCGGCCTTTCGGTTCACTCGTAAACAGTTCCAGAACGATCTACTCTCAGTCTCAGCCTGAGTACTCGCCCGTGTATTTACGGACTTTGATGCTGGATTTAGAAAATGGATCGGCGGAGCTGGTGTGGCGAGACGGTATAGTTTCACTTCAGTCTTCGGTCGTGATAGCTAGCAGCACATACACGTACATGACATGTACCCGGCTTGTCAAAGAACGTGTTGTGAATGTGTATGCGCATTTACATGTACACAAGTACTTGACATTGTTTTCGTTGACGGATGTCATACAGTGCAGTGCCAACGCCGGCAATGACAACAACAGCGCAGTCCGTTGAGACGTACACAATGTACAGTACGTTGTATAGTGCATAGGCATATACATGTACATAAGTCATTGTATTTGTATAGTGAATTGCTATCTTTGACACCCAGCAATCAAGACAGTACAATAATAAAGACACGATTGTCTACGTACATGTACAATGTACATGTATAGTGTAGAAGTCAATTATTCCCTTTCCTTACCCATTGTGCAAGCCCAAGCTGGATACAGATCTATTTCATTCCTTGGTGCTGACCGCTTTAATGCGCTTCCCGAATCCCTTCGCACAAATCATATCCCCAATTCATTTCGCCAGGAACTTAACAATTTCATTCATCTTGGGCACCCTGTAAGAAGACCTTAGGGTCTGTTGGGAATGCCCAAGTAAAATAATAAAATACAATACAATACAGTGTAGAACATTCAATAGCACCACCGATATCCCCCCTGGACTGCAGTGCCCTTCTCTGCAGCTCACGAGAGCCCTAGTATAAATTAATTACAATGCACAATGATGATATACGTGACCACATGTACATGTAGATGTACAGGATTTCGGCCTCGACTCTTGACTTCAGTGACTCTTGACTTCAGTGACTCTTGACTTCAGTGACTCTTGAAAGGTACATGTACATGTACATGTACATGTAATTGCTCCTGAACACTAAACTTTCAATAATAATTAGCACGATATTGGACTCTCACATCCGAGCCGGTAGGCTGTGGAGGTTCACATCCAACGCTAATTATCCCCCAAATGAAGCGGTTGCTAATCGATCTTGGCCAAACCACTTGAAGCTCTCGAACATGATAATTGTAGGCAGTTGAGATGCTGGTGGATGAGGATATTGCGTGGGCGCGACCATGGAGAGGCTAGCTACGGCTTGGTTTGGTGCATGCGGTGAACGAAGTCGTTGCCCGGATCTAAGTAATCGCCTGACATGACAACCGTACTCCAAATGTTCACACCTCTTTCGTCGCCTCTTGATCTTCAAGGCTCTTTGCAAGTAGTGTTAGCTGTGGCCAGCATTGATCATGTTCAGACGTTAGTGGTATGCTGCGTACACGGTACAGCGCTGCGTGGACGTACTCGATCAGGCAAACACACACGCCTACAAGTACAAGGCCATGATTGAAGCAGTACATGTACAACCATACATTGCTAGTACTAGTACTAGCCGACCCGTCAAGCCATACACTACCACTGTATTGTATTGCAATCGACTGGTCGTGTACCCTCTTCGACAAGCCTTGCTCAAACGATGGAAGAATGCGATTACTTGAACTAGAAGCAGGGAGGAAAGGAATGTCAATCCCAATTACTCGGATTTTATTACTCCGGACAACCACTCCTTGTCTTGTTCGCCCTCCTATGTGGCGTTTATAGCACAAGCCTAGAGACGAAATCTAAAAATATTTTACGATGTACCTCCGTTTGGCAACAGGTGGTTTGCGAGGAACCTTGACAACCTCACACCATTCCATGCGTTGCAGTGACGATGCTCATGCCTTCAGGTACGAGTATGGGTGACACGTAGACTTACGTTTCAGTTCGCGAAAATGTGCGTGTACTACAGTGCTGGCAACTGAAATCCGACCCCCAAGCTTGCCGGCGCGCCGCACTGTAGTTGTAGACTTTATGATGTACTACTACTGTACTACTAGTACATAACAGTATACAATCATGTACAATGTCATGTTCATGGTTGTATGCATTACTTCGACAACAGTCCCCGAACCTACAGTGCCCAGGCATTGCTGTTTGCTCGTACCATTTCGCCCAGCATCAATGCAGTTCGTGTTGATAGAGAGTGCAACCCCAACTGGGTAGTCAGTTTGGTGCCTTGTGCCTTGTGGCTGCCAGCCGAGTACTCGCCTCGAAGCCAGCAACCATTCACAAAACGAAGGCAAAACGCTGTTTCACCTGTATCCGTAGATCCGAATCCATTGAACCGGCTTGCACTCCAACAATCTCCCTGTTGTCTGTCTGTCTGTCTGTCTGTCTGTCTGTCTGTCTGTCTGTCTGTCTGTCGTCTGTCTGTCTGTCTGTCTGTCTGTCTGTCTGCTGCTGTCTGCGTTCTCTCTCTCTCAATCTCTCTCTCTCCCTCTCTTCCCCCCCCCCTCTCTCTCTCTCATTCTCTCTTCTCTCTCTCTCTCTCTCTCTCTCTCTCTCTCTCTCTCTCTCTCTCTCTCTCTCTCTCTCTCTCTTCTCTCTCTCTCTTTCTCTCTCTCTCTCTCTCTCTCTCTCTCTCTCTCTCTCTCTCTCTCTCTCTCTCTCTCTCTCTCTCTCTCTCTTTCTCTCTCTCTCTCTCTCTGTCTCTCTCTGTCTCTCTCTCTCTCTCTCCTCTCTCTCTCTCTCTCTCTCTCTCTCTCTCTCTCTCTCTCTCTCTCTCTCTGTCTCTCTCTGTCTCTCTCTCTCTCTCTCTCTCTCTCTCTCTCTCTCTCTCTCTCTCTCTCTCTCTCTCTCTCTCTCTCTCTCTCTCTCTCTCTCTCTCTCTCTCTCTCTCTCTCTCTCTCTCTTTCTATCTTTCTCTAGGATCCGGCGGATTCTGCCGGCAGAAAAATTGGCAGAATTCGGTACTTTTTCTGGTAAGTTTCATGCATGTTTGGTATGTGGATAAAAAAATGGAGCAGAATTCGAGGAATTGCCCGCCATAAGGTTTGTATGGTTCTGCCAATTTCACTGCTTTTCGAGCAGAATCTGCCACCTTTTCGAGCAGAAATCTCTCCGGTCTCTATCTTTCTCTCTTTCTCCAGCATTATCCACCAAGGTCTACAATGTACAAGCCGGGAGCTGCTACCCCCCCCCCCCCCCTCCCCCTGACTATCTTATCAACTTTTCGCCTCTTTTTTACCACCTTCACCATCACGGCCTTTCACTGCAATTGAAATAAATGAAGCAATCTCCACATTTCCGCCCTTGGTGCTTGAAATAAAGGGTAGTACCTGCATGCGCTTCGACCTGCACAAGTGACTCCACACTCAGTCATGTTGTCTTCGTCCGCCATTGGCACTTGGCAGTTCGAGACCAGTTTCCCTGCATAAAGCCATCAACACCGAACGCAGTGACTGCGTGTGGTCGTCAGCGCCGAACCACAGCGCATTGTCTTCCTGGCAGTGGCAGAGTGCACGCGACGAGATGCGATTTCGCGCTGAGCTAAGACGTAGAGGACAACAATGTTGAGAATGGCCCAGTTGCAGTGTTCGACGGATAACGTAACGTTGGTCTGCCAGGCATTAGCATAGCGCACGAAGAAGCGCTTCAAGGCGTTTGGCAAGCCACCTACAGGTACCTGCCTAGCATAGATCACTTGAGTCGCGTGATCGCGAATTTGGCCCTAATTTAAAAAAAGAAGAGAAAAGAAAGGTTATTAGTCCGTCACAAACGGTCTTGGCATTTGGCGTGCAGGACGTGTGGTTCCCAGTGTCATTCCTGACAAGACATGGCCAACTCAACTACTTACTGCAACGAACCATTTGCAAACACTTCAGT